AATAGATTTTCCAACGAGAATTTCCAAGCCTTGAAAAAGCCAATTGCTGTCAAAACATCAAAGATATAGTTGGAGATAACTTGAGAAAAAAATTGAGGTTTCGACTTCATCTTATGGTTTGAAAAAGCTTTAAAACGACTTAGATTGTCCATATGACAAGAATTGGATTACAGTCGATTTTAAAGAATTAATTTAGGGAAGACCTAACAAAAAGGATTTTCATTAAAGTTGATTTATTTGGTCGAAATTCTAAAATTTAAAAAATTAATTTTCAATCATTTCTAAATTAATAAAAATTTTGGTTTCAATTTCATACAGATTTTGAGTTTTAAGTCCATTTAAGTTGAGTTAAACTGACTTTGGCCCAATTTTTGGTACAATTAATTTATGCAGTTTCTATGCATTTCATTAAGTTCAGAGCTTCTCGACTATGATTCAAGAAAGAATATGCATTTTGTCTAACAAAATTGCGTCTAGAACATTGAAATTGAAAATTTTACTTGCAGAAATTTTGTATGATTTTTTTTTCATAGTGCAAGAACCCTTTCGGTATGAAAAGATTTTTTCTTTTTAGTACATATTTCTTGTTTCGAAACAAAAAGAAAATTCATAACAAATCAGATTTATTTGAAATTTGATGGATGTCACTGCCTTGCACAAACCCAGTAAAAATGATTGAAGTAATTTTTTAAGGAATAAAAATGTTTTTTTTTAACCGTAAAATCCATTTAATCTATTGTAAATCGGTTTACGTGTCTACATGGGCTACCGTACATCATTTTCCATACTGTATATTATCTGTAAAAAAAAATCGATTTAAATCGATTTTAATCTCAATTTTGTCAGTGCGGGTGGTCAAGTTATGTGCATTGAGCAATATGAGGAGTAAGTCAAGTGTGATTTTGTCGCAAATAATTAGGTATCTTTCCTCGCGATTTTAATCTACTTCGAAAAGTTTTAAAAGATAACCTATTTGTTATACGCTTAACCTTATCTGAAGTTTATCTGCAGTGCTGGATTTTGAATAAAAAATGGACCTAGTAAGATGCATCAAATGATTTAATAAAAAAATTTTAGATGGATAAAATTTCAGCATACGCGTTAATGGCACAAATTATATCGCGCGTGAGTTATCACAAATCGACTAAATTGGCAATCTGTAAAGCCCTATAACTTTTAAAAAAAGATCACAGCTGAAATACTTTCATCAAATAGAGCTCTGGATTACATTACCGGATGATTTGGTCAGGATAAAAAAAATGCCCAGCAAAATAGGACTGGAGAAAATTTACCACGACGAGCCCAAACATTCTGTCACTTTCTTTGAAAATCTGAACAATTAGTTGAGACCTTATGTTTTTTTCCCAAAAAACCGTTGCAATTACATTAACTGACATTCAGACCATTCAAAACTTTGCCCTGATTTGATTCCTTTTTTCAAACAATTTTTAGGTCAGCTAAAATTGTTTTTCGAGCTATTACAAATCACGGCACCGACGCAACTTTGACCAGTTTGTCAAGACGACCTGTTTTTCAAAACGAATACAAACATTTTCGACGAGTAAATTGTAAAATCGTGTTTTTCAGCGCGCGTGCCATCCTTACAATTAGTGGAGAATAGTGCCAAAGGACACTTTGCATTGCCAAGGGGTCAAACTCTTGAGGATACCGGGCCGCCCCGCCCCTCTCCACCTAAATCTTCCGCAGAAAGTAACGGAATCTCTGTGCTCGGTGTGTATTTTTTCCTGACACTTTTTGACTTTCATCTGGACATTTTTGAACGAAATAAATTTGTTTATCTGAAAGTCAGTAATCGCCTGAGTTCAAAAAACCTAACCTGTGATCATTTTTTAAAAAATTTGGGGTTTGTGAATTGCTAATTTGACTAATTTGACTACCTTATGAGAACTAACGTGCAAGATGTTTTGCGTTATTACAGCATTATTTTTTTTTATCGAATGGAGTTTTTATGCATAGTTTTTTGAAATGATTTAGGTTGCATTCTAACTGCAAACGCTTTTCACGTTCGATCAGTTTCATTCAAAGAGGCCGATTGTTTAGGCCGCTTACTTTCTTATATTCGTGAACGCATTTAATTTTTTTTCGAACATTTTATCGTGGTCGTCAAGACTTTTGAATGAGATTTTTCAGTTGTACGTTACAAGAACAGTGGTTTTTCAGCGTTGTCGATGTTGTAGCATGTTGTAGATGAAAACAATGAAACTCCTTTTAAATCATTTTTCCCATTTTATTGAGATGCAACTTTCAGCACACACAGAATAGATTGCACGCTTTAAACTAAAGTAGTTTACTGGTTCAATTTTAACTTTTTTTATCTGCAATTTTGGTTGTTGTTACTCGTTTTATGTTTCTCAATTTTGTTTTTTTTTATTCATTTTCTGAATTTGCATAGAAATTTTGGGGGTGGGGGTCTTACGACGTTTGTATGTAAGCATATATGTTTATGGGTTGGGCTACTATTCGTAACAAGCGAAAATTCGTAACAAGGCATTGGCAATTATATTACGTTGCTTCGCTTCGCTCCGCTGCATTTACATCATGAATACTGCGCAAGAATCAGTTTCCCCAGCTTAATCTACAGATACGAATTCGCTTGATACGATTTGTTGCCTGTTACGAATTTTCAACTATCACTCGGCAAAATTGAAAATTTTTGGCCAAAAAACTGTATTTTCAACAAACTGGCCACAAAGTGTCTGTAAAAAATTTTAGGGGTCAAGAATACCAAAGCGGAGCTGAGGGTGGTTCTTGTGGAGAGTGGTGATTGTGGGAATGGATTTTTTTTGCAGTTTGAGAAATTTCAATTTATTTTAATTGGGTTATACTTCTTCTTAGATTTGATAAAACAATGGATTAAGTTCAAATTTTTGTTCCATTTTAATGGCTAAGGGTAAGACGGGAATCGATTGTTTTATTAACATTTTAGACTACAAACAACCATTCTGTTGCCATTTTTTCCCCAAAATGCCCCTTTTTTCTATAATTTCAACATTTATGGCTGGCCAGTCCCAATATTTTTCTAAGGGTGCCTTAGGCGCTAATATAAATAGAATTGAAAGTGAGCGTGCGCCAAAAAAATTGGTAAGTTTTTTGGTAAATTTTTTTGAAAAAAAAAGCTTAAAACGCTCGTTTTTCTTTCAAAATTTGCCTGAAGCGCAGAAAATTTTTTTGGAAATAGTGGGGTCTTTTGAATATAATCAGAGAGTTCGGAAAAAAGCCAACGAAATGTTTTATTTTTTGAAAAATTGCTAGAAAAACTTCTGCGCACGCGACTGCTTGAGACTATTGATCTTTAAACTTTTTCCATCAATTTTTTCCCTTTTTGTTTCATTTTTGACTCTACCCTCTAAGACGTTGTTATTTATGTCGTTTAATTACAGCAGAGAAAAACAAAGGATCAAGAACGGAACCTGGTGGCACACCACAACTCATTTTGCAGATACTTGATTCACATTGATGATCTACTAAATAATATTTTCTGTTAGTCAAATAATTTACGAGAGGAAGACCTATTTTCCCTCTAAATCTACATTTTCAAAGTTTTGATGGCAAAAAAAAATCATTTTTGATAGTGACAAAATATTGCGTAGATCAACAAAAAGAAACATCCCAAATTGTTTTAAATAATTTTCGCATTAACTCTGTGATTCGAGTTATTGCTTCAACATAAGAATGCTTTTCTATGAAACCATTCTTTCACAAAAATATCAGGTTGTTTTTTAAAGGAAAGCGTTCGCTGATGCTGCTAAAAAACTTTCTCGAGGACTTTGCCTATTGTAGATAGGAGATCAAATGGCCAATATTTGGACGAATCGCTTTTTAACTTCAATCAGGGAAATCAATTTGACTAGCTTAAGTTCATCAAGTACCAAACTCCTCATCAATACGTTTGTTAAAGTAGGATGCTAGACACTCCTTGCTGACTGGTGCACACAAGCTTAGCATTTTGTTAGATACATAGTTATGACGAGCAGAGTTTTTAAGTTTTACTTGTTTTAAAAATTGACAGTTTTTTCCCAATCAGTTTGTTCTATTATACAAGTGCAGCCGATATCGTTGATAGAATTTGTGACAATGGTGGGAATTTGACACGTTTTTCTGATTCAGTTTTTCAATTTTCAGTGTCAGGTCCTTTTTTTTCAAGATTAAAACCTAAACCTAAAAACTAAAAATTTTTAATCTTGAAAAAAATCGCCATGAAGTCAAAATAATAATTGTTGTTCACTATCATTAATTGGGTTTTTAAAACCAATTTTAAAAAACTGAAAACTGGAAGTGCTACCCAAGATATCAAGTTCGTCAAAACATGCAATTATCTAGTTAATTAGTTTAACACAACAGTTAAGCAACATTACAAGAAGAATGAAGATTAAATTAACGAGGAATTATCGCATTTTGCTGATTGTTTGTCGACCTAACTCCAATTAATGAATTGGCCAATCAGAGCTGAGGGTAGTAAAAATTCGGGTAGTAAAAATTCGATAAGTTGAATCCGATTTTTATTCTTTTCTCACCATGAATGTCACAATGGCTTTGTTTTCATATCTGCCCTAGGTTTTCAAAGGTTTTTAAGGAAAAATACTTGTGTTATCAGAATAAATTCTTGTTTATCTTTAAAGATAAAGGTACTCGAAGTATTTGCAAGTGCATCGGGCAAAATTTAAGGTTGCAAAATTTCTACATCTACTTCTCATTTAAATGGCATTGGGCAAGGCAACTGATTTTTTGAAAAAATGCAACTGATTTTTTGAGAAAATATGAGACGAGATCAAAATTTTCAAAAATGTCATGCCAACACTTCCAAACTAAGAAAAAAAACATCCGAATTATATGTGAGTTTTTATTGCTCCAAAAATCTGACACTATCCATATTGCAGACGACAGAAGAAATTTTAATTATTATGCTGAAAAATATTGTTGTGAAGACGCCTGTAGAATTCTGTCTGTTATATGCAAAAAAAAATCTTTTTAAACGCTTGATTCTCCACAATTCTCTAAATTATCCGTAATTCAATTGACTTGCCCCTCCTAATATTGACTCTCAAAGAAATTGAATTCTTTTTGGGTGTATTGCGTATTCGATTATAAGTGATTTTAATTGAGTTTGCTGGGTTCTTGTGTGGCTTGCAGTTTATGACTTGAAGGAGTAGTTCTGTTTGACGAAATGGTCCGCAAACTCAGGGTAGGAAATAAACCCATCGCTGTTATCGTCCACACTCTTCATCAGGGCGTAGGCTGAAAAAAAACGGGCTCTTTTCCACTTTTCACCAGCACATTTCAAAATTTCATCTTTCTTAGCGTTCTCCAATGTTCTGTTATGGCTGAATTCGTGATGTAAAGATGTAGGGTATGAAGAATAATTATGTTCACAATAGATAGTTTGTTCATCATTCAAAAATTTTTTTTGCAAAATATTATGCAGAAATAATTATATTTTATCAAAACTAAAATTCAAATGTGGGGGGGGGGGTTGTTAACGAGACGAAAAACGGTGTTGTATAATTTTTTTTCTGCCAATCGCAGATAATCTATCAAAGGCTGTGCAGCAGCTGATCTAATAATAGTGCGTTATTATTGCCACACATTACATTCTGTGTTACTTAATGGAGAAAAACTTATTATTTGCGACTCAGCGTTATTTGTTTGCACTTGGAACTTTCCATGACTTTGTCACTTTTGAAGCAAAAATCGGTGATGTTGTGGTAGAGTTGAAGCTAGAGGTCAAGTGAGAGCTCATCCTCACACAGTATCATTGCCATTGCAGGGAATCGAACACCCAATCTGACGATATCAACGCTGACGCCTTATCTCAAGGTTAAATTCTTCGTTAAAGGAAATAATAATGGCCTCCTAATCAAACTGTCGTTGTTAGAAATCCACCCGGTGTGAAAAAACAGATACATACATCAACTTGGGGGCACTTTTTCAGTTCCGAGCTTTTTGTCTGAAATTCTTTTTACAAACTGTTATTTAAAACGGATTTTGATTTTCTTAGCATAAAAACCTGTCAGCGTGAACAGATTTGAACAAAAAGTATATTTCATGCAGTTTGCGGAATGAATACTTTTGAAATTGGAAAAGAGGCGTAGTACTTAGTATTTAGGCATCAATCTTTGCAACTATCAGATCTTAGACTTGAAGTATCTTAAATGTGTATCTTAAATATCAGATCTTCGGTGTATCTTAAGTCTCAGATCTTCAGTGTATCTTAAATAACAGATCTTCGGTGTATCTTAAATATCAGATCTTCAGTGTATCTTAAATAACAGATCTTCGGTGTATCTTAAATATCAGATCTTCAGTGTATCTTAAGTCTCAGATCTTCGGTATTTCTTGATATTTAAGATCGCCGAAGAACTGAAACTAAAGATACATAAGGTTCCTAAAGTATCAAATCTTAGTGTATGAAACTTAAAAAGGCAATCGAATAAAATCCAAAACTAGGAAACTGAAAAAGCGACGTCGTGGGTTCCCTGGGACGTGTACCTGCACTCTGCAACTCCTGCTGATTCTGAATGCCCATTCTTCTCAACACAGTCATGATCTCCTGCCTGGTAATCATGCCGTCTCCATTCAAGTCATACTGTTTGAACTCTTTCTCGATGTCCTCCCGCAGATAGTAGCGCACAAATTCGTAGAAGTCCACCTCCTTGTCACGGTTGTCGTCGAACTTCTAAATCAAACAGCAAACAAATTCAATTTAATTGTCGCACCCTGGTCGTCCTTTGCAAAAAAAACACTATTGCGAGAAAAAGGAAACAGGACATACGATTCCTTTGCAAGTGGCAGAAATGTTTGTTTAAAGACAAATTTAAAAAAGAAAAATCACAATAAAGAAAACATTCCATTACGAGGCTAAAACGTGCACTGAATAGGCGCACAAGCTTGTGTCTGTATGTTCCTGGATTCCAAAAACTAATCTTTAAACATGTTCCAAAATGTAAGTGGATTCCACTTACAAAACTTCCGTGGATTCCGCGTACAAGAACCTGTTATGTAAATTTTGTCCGCCCATTTGTTGTGTCGTGGATTCCGCAACAAGCGAGCGAAAATAGCTAGTTGTTTTGGATTCCGCAACTGTAAGTGGATTCCGCAAAATGTAAGCGGAATCCGCAAAGGTAAGTGGATTCCGCAAACTGTAAGTGAATTTCGACTTTTGTTCAAACCGAAATTGCACATGAACAATTAAAAGCTGAGCTGGAACTTTTATCTCTAGCAATGCGGAATTTTAAAGCAAAGACTTAACCATTGTCAGCGGAATTCACAAACAAATCTTGAAACATTGGTTACTCAAATCGGTGGATAACATCTTTTAGTATTTTGGAAAGACAGCACCGAATAATTTCAGTTTTGGATTCATTGAGTTAAGAGTGTATGGAAATACAACACAGATCACCAAATTAGGCCAGTATTTGGGATTGCGTCAATCCCAAATACTGATTTTGGAACCATAACGCCGAATAAATTCAGTAATTGTAGTCATTGGGTTGAGAGTGTATGGAAACACAATACACAGCATATCGCCAAATTAGGTCAGTATTTGGGGTTCTATCGATCCCAAATACTGTTCAGTATTTGGGATTGATGAAATCCCAAAAACTGGAAAAAAAATGGAATAAATATGGAAAAAAGTCATTATTTGGAGTCATTAGGTTGAGAGTGATTAGAAACCCAATGCATAGCAAATCGTCGAGTTGTTTCAGGCTTTGGGATTTCATCGATCCCAAATACTGGTCAGTAATTGAGATTCCATTAATCCCAAACACTGATCTATTCTAGTAAGTTTCTATTCTGGTCCAATCAAATCATGTAATTAAAAGATATAATTTTAAAGGCTACTACATATATACATATATGTAAACGGAATCCGCAAACAAAATGCGGATTCCACTTACAATTTGCGGATTCCACTTTTACTTTGCGGATTCCGCAAATTCGTCTGTTTTTTTAGAGCGCTTTTGAGTGGAACAGTGTTTTAAGTTTGGGGAATCCATAACAGCAAAGAAGATCAAAGAAAAGTAGCAAGGACGTGAATTTTGCAACAAATTTGATTTTGGCCTGTTGTGGATTCAGCATACAATGCACAGAATGCACAGTTTGGCCTCGTAATGTCCTTCATTTGAAAAAATTCTTATAATTGTTCGTTGTTAATTGGCTCGCAAAAGAAAAATGAATTGGTTAAATAACCATAGAACAAGCAAATTATAGCAATAGCTTTGATAAGAAACCCGACAGTAAATAGAGTAGGAGATCAGTCTGAAACTTCGAGTCTGAAAAATTAGTCTGAAAAACAGACAACTTCCGATACAGGGACGGATTTCTGGGGGGGGGGGGGGGGTGGACGACGCCCCCTTCCCCTCAGGGATTCGACCTCCTTCCGACCCAAAGGGTCCCCCTTGTACTTTTTTGAGGAATTCATATATAGTGACGGACCCTAAAAAATTCTAAAGGCGCCATGGGCGCCAAAAGATACTAATTTTAAGGGGGGAACGCGCGCCAAAAAGTCGCAATCTTTTGGTAAAAATTTTCCAAAAAGTGCCTAAAAACGCATATTTTTGGCATTTTTTTAAATTTTGGCTGCGGCGCAGAAATTTTGACTAAACAGGGTCTTTTTATTGATTTGGATGAGCTCGGAAAATCAATTTGGTGGACCTAAAAAAAAAGGTCGAGAAAATTTTGGACATTTTTTTGAAAATTCACCCCCGTCAAGAAAATCCTAGATCTGCCCCTGTTCCGATAAAGAAAAGTTTTTGAACTTCTATGAAATCCAAATCACAAGTAGGAGTGCTTTGATACAGTTAAACGCTGCAATTTTTGATGAGGTAGTCCTTTTTTCAAGGCAATTTTTTTTGATAAGGTTGATAAGGCAAAACAATTTTTGTTAAGTTTAATATGATAAGCTGTCTTAATTAGAAAATTAGGTTTATATGGCTTGGTTGGACCATGTTCAAAATGAATAAGGAGCTATTTTTTTAAAAGAATTCAGTGCGTTGAAACATTTGGTGTACAATTATTATGGGCAAAAATTTAATGCGGAGTACCCCAATCTCAATAATTGTTCAATTACTGTTTCTTAGTTACATCTATGATCTTCCATTAGCGTGGAAAAGCTTTAAAGCTTTTCTATTTACAAAGGATGAAAACATAAATGGGTTATCTGCCGGACTTCAAAAAATTAATATTGATACGGATAAACTATTTAAGTCCAAAAAACAGTACAAAATAATATAAACAACATATCGCTTCTAGCATTCGAAATCGTACTGTTAAGTGGAAATTTCCTGAGCATAAATCCTGCAAACATTAAGAAATTTTGACAAATTCAACTTTTTTCGTACGCACGTTTAAACAGTTTATGCAAAGATTATGCCAAAGCGGAGTCCTTTGATTAAAAGCTTTTTGTAAATACTTTTAACCGGAACTAAAACGCAAAAGTTTTCAGAAAAACAGCAAGAATCTCAGCTGTTAATTTTGTTAGAAGAAAAAAAGTTTGATCCCAATACAGTTGCAAAGCTTGAATGAAGCTCAGCTTTCGAAAGTGGTTCATAGCTTAAAATCTATTTTTGTCTTCAAAAGTAAATCTTTGTCTCAATTTCTTTTTACTCGAATTGATGAGTTGAACTCATTAAATATACTATATAGAGTTTCCACTAAAATTTTTGTTGCGATAATTTTGAGTTCAGTCTGCTCTTTAAAAACTGACTCTTCTTGGACTTGTTCTTCTGGTTGCTGCCGCATGGGCTCAGTGAGGTGTTTGCTGTTCAATTTAAACAAAAAAAAATATTTTTCCTGTGACATAATCAAAAACCTGCTTGATCATGAGGCTCAGATGGCCAGTAAAAAATTGTATTGCTAAACTAAAGATTTTTAGATGCCGGAATTTGCAAGTTTGGGCTATTTTTGAATCTTTTTTCCAAACTATTTAAAATTTTATTAGTTTTTACTTTTTGTTCTTACTGACTTTCAAATTGAACGTTAAGTTTGGTCAATACATTTTTGAGTAAAAATGAGCAGCGTGCAGCCCAATTGGGCTCGTTGGCTGTCCTCGCATAGAAATTTCTTGTCTCTTTTTTAAATAGTGTCACTTGGGAAACAAATAATATTTTTCTTCTGCTTCTTTTTCTTCTTCTTGTTTTCCTCTTCTTTTCTTGTCTTGTCTTGTAAGTCGTTTACAACCCCTGGGGGTCTCGACTGCCACTCCCCGGACACGCCGTGTTCCTGTGTCTTGCTACATTTGTTTTTGTGATGGGGATCCCGCAGTCCGGGCATGTGGTCCTGGCTAGTGTGCTCGCGCTTCTAAGAGTCATTTTGTCATGTCTTCTCGAACAGTAGGTTCTTCTGTGTCTCGCCATGTTCGTCGTGCTGAGTTCTTTCCCACAGTCCGGGCACGTCCCTCTTGGGGCCCCTCCACATTGCTTGGCGTGGTTCGTTCTTTGTGCTTTTTGTTTGAAAGTTGTGTGACATTTTTCACATTCAAATATTAGTTCATTGCGCTTGTGGATTCGTGTTTCATGATGGTCTCGTCCCACCTTTGTTCGGCATGTCTTTACGCAGGGTCGCCAACGACATTTGAACCCTTCCTCCGTGACTGGTTTACCGGCTTGGCTTCTGGTTGGTTTCTGATCCCCTTTGTGTATTTCGCACATCTTGTTCTCCCATTCATCCATGGCCTTCTTCCTTTCGTTTACAATACCCTTCCAATTTTTTCTGTCCATAGTTAGACCTTCGATGTTAGTCCAATCTAACCCTGCCTCTTTTAAAATTCTTTTCCAGTACGTTATAGTGTTGTTTTTCCCATTCTTTGGTCTTTCGCCTACTTCCGTCCAGTTGCCCAGAGTGATTTTCTTTACTGTTCTTGTGTCCGGCATCCTCGTCACGTGTCCTATCCTCTTCAGTGCCCGTGCTTCTATCTTCTGTCGAATTGATGTTATTCCTAGTTGCCTTCTGATCTCAAAACTATTCACCCCTTCCTTCTGCATCCTGTATAGCGCCAGCCCCTTCCCATTATTCCATACGTTTCTGTACGCTATATCGGCCACTCTTTGTAGTTTCGAAATGTCCGTGGTTGTCCAAGGTCTCACCGAGCAGTCGAATAGCATGGTTGACTCTACTACTGCTTGGACAATTACCGCCTTGGTTTTCTTTGACAGTGTTGACTTCCATAACCATTTCTTGGCCTTTGACCAAGCATGGTAGCCTCTTTTAATCCTCGCGTTTATGTCTTCCTTTCTTCCAATTAGAGTCCCTAACATCCTTGTCCTGTCCGCTGCCTCGCTTCCAAACATTATGAATTCTTCTTTCCCATTGTGACACACTTCTTCATACTTCAGCATCGTTTTCTTAATTGTCTCTTTACCTCGACTGAGCTCTTCCATACTTCCTAACAGAGTGGAGTCGTCCGCAAACAGCGAGTCCAGTATCTGGAATTCAGTCCTGTTGCTGCTCCGTAGGTTCCTCTGGGACGTCGCAGGGGGGAGGCTGTTTCCCGGTCTCCAGGTCCACTTCAAGCCGCATTCTTCCTTTGACTCCTTTATCCGATCCATTTGGGCTTGCCTCATGGATGTAGCATGATAAATATTAAACAGAATGGGCGAGGTGGCGCAACCTTCGCGAAGGCCCCGTTGTGGCGTCCATGGTGTACTCAGCTCCTGTTTGCCTTTTACTCGGTATTGT